AACTATCTTTATAACTACTTCACTAGATTACGTTAACTATCTTTCTAACTACTTAACTAGCTTACGTTAACTATCTTTATAACTACTTAACTAGATTACGTTAACTATCTTTCTAACTACTTAACTAGCTTACGTTAACTATCTTTATAACTACTTAACTAGATTACGTTAACTATCTTTCTAACTACTTAACTAGTTTACGTTAACTATCTTTCTAACTACTTAACTAGCTTACGTTAACTATCTTTCTAACTACTTAACTAGCTTACGTTAACTATCTTTATAACTACTTAACTAGATTACGTTAACTATCTTTCTAACTACTTAACTAGTTTACGTTAACTATCTTGCTTATATTAGCTCCCTATCACACAACTAGCTTACGTTAACTATCTTTCGAACTACTTAACTAGCTTACGTTAAATATCTTTCGAACTACTTAACTGGCTTACATTAGCTCCCTATCACACAACTAGCTTACGTTAACTATCTTTCGAACTACTTAATTAGCTTACGTTAACTATCTTTCGAACTACTTAACTAGCTTGCATTAGCTCATATCTAGCTAGCTTTGGTGTGAATTGTGTGAATTATTATTTAACACCCCATGGAGAAACTTGCAGTGTGGTCATGTGTCTACCGTCCCAATAGGCTTGTTATTGATCGCGTCCGTTACCGTGGCGACACTGCCGTAGTTTTTCTCCGCCTCCGTTTCCATGGCGATGAGCGTGTCGCTGTCCTCCCTGGCCTCGCCTCGACGCCTCATCCTCCTGCAGGAACAACCTTATCCATCATTAATAATATCTACTGGAGTCGTATGAGAAAAAGTATTTGTTGCTATTATAAAACGATCAATATTTTTCTAAGATTAAATCAGATATTCTTTTTTTTTAAGTTGTACATTCCCTGAGATTAATGTGGTCTATTGATGAGTAAATAACTTTCCAATATTAAATAATTAATTTATAATAAAAAGAGATATCAAAAAATAAAGTCGTAAATGTGCGAGATAAATCATTGAATATTTTTCAGATTACAATCGCACATTAACGAGAACGTAACTGTATTTCCTGAGATATCAAACTCATGGAAAATAAAAAAAAAGGATATTCTCCAAGATTTAATCAGACATTACAAGAAAAAAGGTAGATATTTTTGAAGTGGAAAATGTATGAGGAAAACTTGACTGTTCTCAGATTACCGTCATAAAGTAATTATAATGAATCTCAAAGAATATCTTCTGTACTTCTCTTTCTTGTGTATACAACTTTAATCTCAGAGAATATTCACGTTTGTTGTGGTGCTTTTCTTTCTACCTTAACATTTTCTTAAGGCGTGTTATTAGTACTTCTTCTACTGCAGGAACATTTGACCAAAACAGAGTACTTTTAATGAAGTAACATTGAACACTAACTGAGTATTTGACAGTTTACTTATAGTACTTTTACTGCAGTGACATTTGAGTATTTTCACACTGTGTAAGGTATAGAGTATTAGACAAGAACATCGTAGACACGTTTTAATAAATAAACTAAAGAATGTAGAAAGTAGAAACTTCCTCCTGGAGAAGGACTTACCTGCAGCCCGGAGCAAATACTGTGTGTGTGTGTGTGTGTGTGTGCGCGTGCGTGTAAGCCCATGTATGCCCCCCATCCGTGTCTCCACCAAAAACAAACACTCATCTGCAGTTCTTTTTTTATTTGAATTAAAAATTATAATTAAACTTCAGTGAATATTATTTAAAATACTCTGTGGTGTTATTAAAGTAATCCTAATATTGGTAATAACAAATGTAAAAGACTGCATTAACATGCTGTAATATATGTATACATGACATGTTACATGCTACTTACTTGCTCTCAACACTGTGGACAATCCCCACAGGAGCAATTTGGGGTGAAGTGTCTCAGGGACACAACGACATGCTGACTGCAGTGGGGTTTGAACCTGAGACCCCTGATCCCAACACCAACGCACTAGTCCATTGCGCCACAGCCTCCTGGCATACATCCAGTGTATTTTATTTATAATGTGTATTCTATGGATACTATGGAATATGTATTCTGTGTATTTTAACTTGTGTGTGACGCCTTGTTAACTGCAATAATAAATAATAAAGTGCACTTTTTCTAATAAAACAATCTGTGAGTAGATGAAACATCGAACACAATAAAATGACTGATATTTCATTTAATCATTATATTACTTTGTATTTCAGAAGTGAATATATAATAAGACATATATATAGAAACACAAGATTGAACGTTCTTTTATTTTGAAGGTATGTGTATGACACGTGTATTATGGGATTTTTAATAATGAGAGAGACCTTTGGGTTTTATTTTGTTTATTATGTTTGTAACGCAGCGCTCTGATTGGACGAGAGCACACAGGGATTCAACAAGCTGAAGTTTATCCTACTGTACACACACACACGTCTTTGGCAGGAAGCAGCTTCTTCCTCTGCTGAACAAACATCGACACACAAGGAGCTGCACGGGACGGTGATGTCATCAAGCACACACACACACACACACACACACACACACACACACACACACACACACACACACACACACACACACACACACACACACACACACACACACACACACACACAGTGTTTAACCAGCTCCTCCTGCTGTCACTGCACTGGACAGCAGCAACACTAGTGGATTGTGGGTAATGTAGTTGAGGTAACATGTCTTTTAACTAACTGATGATAATCTTGTAGCGCTTTAATCTTCACTAAATATTATATTTTAAATACTTTAATTATTTCATAAACTGTAACTCGAGTCGTGTGATGTTCAGGGTTTCTTTTCTAAAAGTTAAACATTTGAGAGTTTAGGGAAAACAATTCAAATAAAAACAAAAGCTAATTCTTTTTTACACCACGCACGTTTTAGTTCCTGAACGCCACCTGTTTAAATTAGTCCCTCAAAGCCCCATGTCAATGTTGGTTCCTGAACGCCCCATGATCCTTTTAGTCTCTGAACGCCCCATGATCCTTTTAGTCTCTGAACGCCCCGTGATCCTTTTAGTCTCTGAACGCCCCGTGATCCTTTTAGTCTCTGAACGCCCCATGATCCTTTTAGTCTCTGAACGCCCTATATTCGATTGGATTCCTGAACGCCCCGTGCTTCAATTAGTCCCTGAACGCCCCATGTTTTAGAGAATGTATAAGTTTCTCGATGCCCCAGGCTCATTGTAGTCCCTGAACGCCTCACACTCCATCTATCATCTATTTGTTTTATAGTTTATAAGATTTTAAAGAGTTATTTATCATTTTAAGGCGTTTTTGTCGGTTCTATAATGAAGTCAGATTGTTAGGGCACTCGATAAATAAACTCTGATCGGTGGTTTCATGCTTTCTACCTTAAATCTGCTCAATGATTCAATTAAGGTTTTTTAAGAGGATAAAACACTTTCTTAAATCTGCATTAAAATGCCGTATATTTTCAGGGACAGCGTTTAAGGGGATAATAAATGGTAATATTTAGATGATGTCATATTAAGGATTCATTAATGGAATTAATCAAATCAAGGCATTATAATTAGAATGATAGGCAACATTACAAATTACGTTTTCAAATAATTCGATTTAAGGCGTTAAATTGAACAAATAAAATAAACATATTAAGGTCATTTTAATGGGATGTTAAGGGGAACATTCATTTATATGCAAAGTTTAACATTTTTTAAAGGGTATTAACAACTCTTTACTGTATATGGACAAAATATCATTAAAGCCATTCCTTAATTCAAACCTTAAAAATGCTTTTAATATTTTAAAGGATATTTGGTCAATTTTAGGGTGTTTTCCTCCTACATGTAATTAATCTAAAGCCAATGGGTTTTGTATGAGATGATCTGCATGGATTTAAGAACACAATAACGGTAAATAAATCCTTTAAAATGACCAAAAACCATGAAAGCCATTCATAAATCTATGCTATAAAATACTCTTAAAATAAAGGGGAGAGTTTTTATGGTGTTTGGTCAAATTACGGCTTTTTTTGTTCCTTAAAAGCCCAGAAAACCACACAAATTACCCATTTAAACCCTTTCATATAATGGGGGAAGTGAATGGGTTGTTGTAGATCAGTTGATCTGTGTGGTTTAATTTCTTAAAATGTATTAGTTTATATACCTAAAAATAACCCACTTAAATCTTTAATAATATGTCACAGTATAATGATTTGATTTATCAACCTTTTAAATGTTTAACCTCCAAGAACGTTGCCCTAAAAGTCCCTTAATTGAATAATTAATCAGATGGTGATGTCACAGTTCAAATTAGTTTGAGGTCATCACAGTGATGTCATCAGAGAGAGCACTTTCTCACAACACACAAGTACACACACACACACACACGAACCAAAGCCCAATAATAATAATAACAATAACAATAATTAATGACGGTGATAAAGCAGAAATCAGCAACATCGTCCCATGTGACTTCCTCTTCATCGTCAGTCCTTCGTGTGAAGTCCGTTTCATTTCCAGACAGGAAGTCAGTCCGACCCTCTCTAATTCATAGATTTATATTAGCGGGAGAAACTGAAGGTTACACCCCCAACGCACACCTGAAAACCTCCACATAACCTCCACATAACCTCCAGATAACCTCCACTAATTAAGACACTAGCCGTTTGTTAAAGAAGGGTATATTTTTAAGTTTCCTGACAAATTAAAACCTCCAGATAACTTCAAGATAACCCCGAGATAACTTCCTCTAATTAAGACTCCTGCCATTTGTTAACGAGGATATATTTCCAGACTAATCAACTCCTCTTAGCTCCATCTACCAGACCTCACAGCGCCCCCCGGTGTTCATGGGCGTCCCTACGGGGCAGTTGAAATGGCGGCTGAAGTCTGGAGAGTTGGCGAGCGTGCCGATGACCCGGTATCGGGGGGGGCTGTGGGGGTCGGTCACTAAACCCTCGTGAGCGCTCTCCGGTGTCCGCACTGAACACCACACCTGAAAGAAGTGAAAAAACAAAACTTTAAATAATTAATTAATTGTCCATAAAATTACTTTTTTTTGTTTAAAGTAAACAAAACATATTGAATTGTGTTGCTAACATCATCAAAGTTGTTGTTTATATAGTTAGTCTCTTTCACAACGGTAAGTGTTTGTCAGTAACTTACAAGATCTGCAAAAATATCAGAAGGAGTCATGTGATCACATTGTAAAAATAATCCAATAAAACATTTGAGGGAAGTTAGTGAAAAATCGTAATTTCATTAGGTAGATATCCTAACTAGTTGCGTTGACGCTGAAAACATGTGTTCAGACCAATAAAGCAGCTTTGAGAACAGCTTTAGTGTCTTTAACATCTTATGAATCATCCCTCCGTTGTACATACTTCAGCGTGTTATCAGCATATAACTTCAGGTTGCTTGAAAAGAAACCGAAGTGGCCCCAGCATGTCGCCCTGTGGGACTCCGCTTCTCTGTAAGCTATCTGAGGTTGTTTTTGTTTGTCTCACCTGAGCAAAACCAACAAAGAAAAGCTGATCGTTGGTCAGGTTAACGGCAGGAAGTCTCTTCTCCTCTCCGTTCTTCTGCACCCACGACCGATAAGCCTGAGGGGAAAACATCGAGTTAGTCATGATGATGTAAGAGAGGTAAAAAAACGCACTAAATGCAAAAATACTATGTAAAAGTCCTGCAACCAAAAAGTACTTTAATAAATGCACTTTATGACACTCATATGGTCGTAGCGTTCATACTCACGTTGTACGCAGCCTTCAGTCCTCCGTTGTCGGCGATGTTTTCTCCGAGCGTCTGTTTTCCATTGACGTGTTCTCCGTTGACGGTGTAGCGGCTGTACTGATCCGTCATGCACTCGGTTCTCTCACGAAACGCCTCCACCGACGAGTTCTGCCACCACGGCCGCAAGTTCCCTTCTTTATCGTACTCGCGACCTGCAGGGGGAGGAAGGACGTCTTAATTAACAGGAAGTGAGCTCATTAACTCTGTCGTTAAAACACTGTGGGCTGCCAGGGATATTGGTTTTACTGCATAACGTCACCAGCTCTATCAACCAACTTACCAAAGACAGAACCTTTTTCTTTCCAGAGCCAGTATCAGAATACCTTTATTTATCCCACAGAGGGGAATAAGTGCATTTGTTACAGCAAGATAAGAGCCAATGACTGCTTAATATTAACTAAGAAGCATGCATAATGTTTTTTTTAAAAGATAATAAATAAAAAATTACACAATTTTCAAAATAAACATGTTTTTATTTTTAGCTTTTGAATGAACTGTTATTAAATTAAAACAGTTTTTAAGAAGATAAACTAACTATTTATATAACTTATATGTGATTACTTGAAAAACGTGTATTTGAGACACAGGTCCACACTGTCTAACCATAAGGGGTTAAATAATAACTCATGTTTAAATTAAAACAATGTTTTTATAATGAGTCTCTGCTGAACGTAGGCCCTTTAATATGTCATTGTTAGGCCGTAAACAACATGGATGTTTAATAAGAACTGGATCCAGCGTTGGAGGCCTCGTTCTTTCCTATGAGAGCTGCTCATTGGCGCACGAGGACAAAATGGTCAGACATTCGAGAGCAAAACGTCACAGATTAACCAGCATGCCTTGCTGTCAGAGCAGAAGAACCTGTATGTAGCTCGTAGAACGCAGTTGAGTTTCCCTTTAAGCCCCGCCTCCTGTCATTAAGCCCCGCCCCGATCTCCCACTCTCGGCTCAGTAGAATGAATGGAGAGAGAAAATAAATCTGGATTCAGCTTTTAGCGCACTGATACGGGAGTTGTAGTACCGCCGTTTGGCCACTGTGAACATTTTCCTCAGAGTCTAGAGCACTTCCTCTGGGTTTGGTACACACAGCGGGAAGTGACCATGTGACAGGAATTGAACTCACCCTGATCATCGAAGGCGTGCGTGAGCTCGTGACCCATCACCACCCCGATCCCCCCGAAGTTCAACGCCCTGAAAACACAGGTGAGACAGGTGAGAGAGGTGAGACAAGTGAGACTAGTGAGACAGGTGAGAGAGGTGAGACAAGTGAGACTAGTGAGACAGGTGAGAGAGGTGAGACTAGTGAGACTAGTGAGACAGGTGGATGTGGAACAAACTTGGGGTGGTCTGATATCTACATGTTTAATATTTGACCCCCCTGTAGTGTGTTATGCGGTGAGAGACACAGGTGAGACAGGTGAGAGAGACAGGTGAGAGAGACAGGTGAGAGACACAGGTGAGAAAGGTGAGAGAGACAGGTGAGACAGGTGAGAGAGACAGGTGAGACAGGTGAGACAGGTGAGAGAGACAGGGAGACAGGTAAGGAGACAGGTGAGAGACACAGGTGAGACAGGGGAGAGAGACAGGTGAGACAGGTGAGAGAGACAGGTGAGAGAGACAGGTGAGACAGGTGAGAGACACAGGTGAGACAGGTGAGAGAGAGACAGGTGAGAGAGCCAGGTGAGACAGGTGAGACAGGTGAGAGAGAGACAGGTGAGAGAGCCAGGTGAGACAGGTGAGAGAGACAGGTGAGAGAGACAGGTGAGACAGGTGAGAAGAGACAGGTGAGAGAGACAGGTGAGAGAGACAGGTGAGAGAGACAGGGAGAGAACAGGGAGACAGGGGAGAGACAGGTGAGAGAGAGGAGACAGGTGAGAGAGACAGGTGAGAGAGACAGGTGAGACAGGTGAGAGAGAGACAGGTGAGAGAGACAGGTGGATATATGTTATCCTAGAGGACGAGGAACAGACTTGGGGTGGTCGTGGGCGTAGAAAGGAGCCTGCAGGATCCCGGCGGGGAAGACGATGCCGTTCTTAGTGGGCATGTAGTAGGCATTTACTGTGGGGGGGGTCATACTCCACCTGAGGGAGGGGAGGAGGGAGGAGAGGAGGCAAGGAGACAAGGAGAGGAGGTGAGGAGATAATTGATGCTTTGATTTGAATTGATGATTGACCAGTGCGACAACAATCCCAGAAGTAATATATTTTGGTTGAATTTGATTTATTCTGTTATATTTATTATTTTATTCTGAATTAAATACAGAGTAAGTGTGTGTGTGTGTGTGTGTGTGTGTGTGTGTGTGTGTGTGTGTGTGTGTGTGTGTGTGTGTGTGTGTGTGTGTGTGTGTGTGTGTGTGTGTGTGTGTGTTATTACTGGTCTTTGTTGGGGGTCTTCCTCAGCTGGTCGGCCATCACTCTGGAGGAGAAGTTGTAGAAGTTGAGCATGTTCATGAAGAAGCTGTCGTACGACACCTCGTACTGAAACACAAGATAACGGGTTTATCACCACGACTTAGGAAGTGTATAAAACATAAACAATATGTAACACATTTCAAATATAAGAAGACAGCGACACACTCACCCCGTCGTACACGTCGTCCAGCTCTTTGGGATCCAGGATGAATTCTGGGAAACCGATCATATCGTAGATGGCGTCGGCCTAACGAGACAAACAGGAACCAATCAGCAGAGACACCTGGGAACACCTGGACACTGATTTAATGCCCTGATGATCTACAGGTGGTGCGTTCAAACCCTACTCTACACAGATCATGTGACCAGTTGTACTCGGCTACTTTTATCTGAAAGCTCGGAGAACCATAGCTTCAACTCGGGGAGGAGTGCTGGTGTGTGTGTGTTGTGTGTGTGTGTGTGTGTACCTTGTCTTTGGCAGCTCGTTTGGTGTGTGGGTCCATCCAGCCCAGGCGGTCCAGAGCGCCTTTAAACGCCGAGCGGATCTCATTAATCATCTCCTCGGCCTGAGAGAGAAACACAAGATGAGCCTCACTCTCAGCGTTCTTCTCTATCAGCGTTCTTCCTTCAGGGGGAACTCACGATGTCTTTGCTGTGTTTGTCGAAGGTCTCCTTCACGAACAGCGATCCCAGAGCGAAGCCCAGCGTGTCGTCAGTGTTCCCGATGCAGGTCTGCCAGCGGGGCGTGCACGACTGAAACCGAGAGGCAGCCAGGAGAACCAGTTACAACGAGAGACAGCAGCAGTATCAGCAGCTGTATCAACAGCAGTATCAACAGCTGTAACACAGCGTATCAACAGCAGTATCAACAGCTGTATCAACAGCAGATCAACAGCAGTATCAACAGCGTATCAACACAGTATCAACAGCTGTATCAACAGCTGTATCAACAGCTGTATCAACAGCAGTATCAACACAGTATCAACAGCTGTATCAACAGCTGTATCAACAGCAGTATCAACAGCTGTATCAACAGCAGTATCAACAGCGTCGCGTCTCGAACTACTTAATTAGCTTACATTAGCTCCCTATCACACAACTA